TCTCTCAGGGCTTGGCTACACTTGCAAGTTGCAGCGCAGTGAAGGAGCCCTGGGCGCCGTCCACACTGGCAAGGCACGTAGAGCGCTCTGACTCCATGGCTGCAGGGACTCCACCTTGGCGAGTGGAATAATGTCTGCTGCACCCCCCTGGAGCACCGCGGCACCAGTGTGAACGAGGTGTTGCTTTACTGAGCCCTGATCAGCCTCCAGAAACGTCCCATAATCCCCTTCAGTCAAGTGGCCACTCTTGTCATTGTTTGAAATCGGCTGTAGGAATGCGGAAATGCCCATTGAAAGCTCCGTTTCTGACAGCCGGATGCTTATCTGCTCGGAGACAAAGCAACCATTAGTGTGGATGCTGGGTGAGAGAGAGAGGCGGGGGGAGCCTGCTGCTGTCTGAACTTACAAGACAGCATGCTGACATAGAATATCCGGGTTGGAAGGGACCTGAGGAGATCTAGTCCAACCCTCTGCGCAAAGCAGGACCAATCCCTAATTTTTGCCCCAGATCCCTAAATGGTCCCCTTAAGAGGCACTTATCGTGAGCATCTTATGCTCTCAGCACCCCAAAAACCCACTCTCTCTCCCCCCACATACACACAACACACTCCCTGTCACGCTCCACTGCCCACCCCCATTTGAAAAGCACGCTGCAGCCACCTGCATGCTGGGATAGCTGCCCATAATGCACCGCTCCCAATGCCACTGCAAGTGCCGCAAATGGGGCCACGCTTTCCCTGCTGCGCTCTAGGAAGGCTGGTTTAACTCAAAGTGCTCGACAGCTGCAAGGGTAGCCCTGCCCTAAGTCTGACCTCCTTGGTCAGACTCCAGCTGAGAGCCTGGATTGCTTCCAGCAGCCAGCTCTTATCCCCCACCTCACACCTCCCATCCTTTGTCCTCCAGCTGAAGAATGTTGCTCAGCCTCCCTCCTGAGAGGTGGTGAAAATCCATCCGCCTCTGGCTGCTTGGTTGCTAGGCGTCTGTCCTGCTGAGTGGCTTTGCCATTGTCTTCATAGCTTCTCTTCTAAGATAAAAAGAAAAGGAGTACTTGTGGCACCTTAGAGACTAACCAATTTATTTTAGCATGAGCTTTCGTGAGCTACAGCTCACTTCATCTTTATGCATCCGATGAAGTGAGCTGTAGCTCACAAAAAGCTCACGCTCAAATAAATTGGTTAGTCTCTAAGGTGCCACAAGTTCTCCTTTTCTTTTTGCGAATACAGACTAACACGGCTGTTCCTCTGAAACCTGTCTTCTAAGATAGGGTCTGGCTCAGCCAGTCTTTTTCCAATCACCCATTTAGGGCATGTCTACACTACAATCTTAAATTGACCAGTTAGGTTGACTTTCAGCCTCCTTCCGTAGGTGCTGCGCATCCTCATTATAGTGCTTCTACCCACTGAAGAGGGCCAAGGGAAGGGGGCGGAGGGCTGAGAGCCAGGTCTCTCTGCAGTTCCTTGCTGGGAGTCCAGCTGCTCCCACCCCCCACCCTCCCCCAGCTTCTCAGCTCCCTGCTCCCAGCCGGGAGCAGGTGGGCAGCTGCCTGGGGCTTCTTGCAACTGGTAGAGAGCAGGGAGCCAAGAGCCAGGGGGCCAGCCAGACTGCCAGTGGGGAACCAGGACCCCGGGGGGCAGCAGGTGAGCCAGGCTTTCTTGTTAATTTCACAGCTCTAGCAGAGTCATGACATTGACATGACAGCCAAGAGCTAACCTAAGGAATGCAGAACCCACACCCACACTGTGTTGCCCTAGCTACAGGGACATAAGCCCTATGCCTCTCATGGAGGTGGAGTTACGGCGGTGTAGTAGGGCACCTACACTTGTGGGACAAGGCCGTCGTGTAGACAGTGACATAATTAGGTCAATATAATGTAGACCAGGCCTTAGTCTTAGACAGCAAGAGGACATTCATCTCTGTGCCTCTTAGCCTGCCCTAAGAGCAGAGTCCTTGTCCATCCACTGGTTAACACTACCACATATAGGAGAAACTGAAGCACACACAGGATTAATACAAATTACAAAAATTCCCACTGTGTCAATGGGGGGCAGGGGAGATTAGGCAAATTCACACAGGTACTACCTCCTGGGGAGGTTTGCATGTACTGATTACACTAGTAAAAACTCAACCATAGGATTTAAATCGGTATTTAAAAACACTACACATGCAAAGGGAACAGTATCCTGCCACTACAACTTCATTTGCGGCTGCATTTGTCTAATATTAACAATTATAAACAAAGCAATGCAGCTAGTATTTGGAACGATCCTTACAGTGTTAAGAGTGCCAGGCACAAAACTTCACTTCTCTTCACACGACTGGTTCTCTTTTTGGACCTGTGCTTCTTCCTCTTCAGCGAAGTCATTCTTGATATCGAAGGTCTTACAGATTTCTTCTGGAGTTTTCCCCAAGGAAGACCAAGGACAGGGTAGGCCTGTTACTCAATGAGGGGTGGAAAACAACAAAACATGTAGAAATGGTAGAGGTGCTTAATGACTTCTTCATTTCGGTTTCCACCAAGAAGGTTGGTGGTGATTGGACATCTAATGTAGTGAATGCCAGTGAAAATGAGATTGGATCAGAAGAGGATAAAATAGAGAAAGAACAAGTTAAAAATTACTTGGACAAATTAGGTGTCTTCAAGTCACCAAGGACTGATAAAACACAACCTAGAATACTCAAGGAGCTGACTGAGGCATTAGCGATTATCTGTGAAAAGTCATGGAAGATGGGAGAGATTCCGGAAGACTGGAAAAGGGCAAACAGTGCCCATCTATAAAAAGGGACAAAAGGACAACCCAGGGAATTACAGACCAGTCAGCTTAACTTCTGCACCCGGAAAGACAATGGAGCAAATAATTAAGCAATCAATTTGCAAACATCTAGAAGATAATAAAGTGATAAGTAACAGTCAGCATGGATTTGTCAAAAACAAATCTTGTCAAAAACAAATCATGTCAAACCAACTTGATTGCTTTCTTTGACAGGGTACCAAGCCTTGTGGATGTGGGGGAAGTGGTAAGACATGGTATATCTTGACTTTAGTAAAACTTTTGATCCAGTCTCGCATGACCTTCTCATAAACAAATTGGAGAAATGCAACCTAGATGGAGCTACTTTAAGATGGGTGCAAAACTGGTTGGAAAACTGTTCCCAGAGAGTAATCATCAGTGGTTCACAGTCATGCTGGAAGGGCATAACGAGTGGGGTCCCGCTAGGATTGGTTCTGGATCCGGTTCTGTTCAATATCTTCATCAGTGATTTACATAATGGCATGGAGAATACACTTATAAAGTTTGCAGACGATACCAAGCTGGGAGGGGTTGCAAATGCTTTGGAGGATAGGATTACAATTCAAAATGATCTGGACAAACTGGAGAAATGGTCTGAAGTAAATAGGATGAAATTCAATAAGGACAAATGCAAAAGTACTCCATTTAGGAAGGAACAATCAGTTGCACACATACAAAATGGGAAATGACTGCCTAGGAAGGAGCACTGCGGAAAGGGATCTGGGGGTCATAGTGGACCACAAGCTAAGTATGAGTCAACAGTATAATGTGGTTGCAAAAAAAGCAAACATCCTTCTGGGCTGTATTAGCAGGAGTGTTGTAAGCAAGACACGAGAAGTAATTCTTCCGCTCTACTCCACGCTGCTTAGGCCTCAAGTGGAGTATTGTGTCCAGTTCTGGGCGCCACATTTCAGGAAGGATGTGGACAAATTGGAGAAAGTCCAGAGAAGAGCAACAAAAATGATTAAAGGTCTAGAAATATGACCTATAAGGGAAGATTGAAGGGAAAAAAGGTTTGTTTAGTCTGGAAAAGAGAAGACTGGGAGGGGACACGATAATTTTCAAGTACGTAAAAGGTTGTTACAAGTAGGAAGAAGAAAAATTGATTTCGTTAACCTCTGAGGACAGGACAAGCAGCAATGGGCTTAAATTGCAGCGACGGCAGTTTAGGTTGAACATTAGGAAAAAATTCCTGTCAGGGTGGTTAAGCACTGGAATAAATTGCCCAGGGATGTTGTGGAATCTCCATCATCGGAGATTTAAGAGCAGGTTCGACAAACACCTGTCAGGGATGTTCTAGATAATACTTAGTACTGCCATGAGTGCAGGGAACTGGACTAGACGACCTCTGGAAGTCCCTGGATTCTTTATAGACCAGCAGACAAAGAAAGGGCTTTTGAATAAATAGCCTGTGTTTAAACTGACTCAAGGCCTTCTTTCTGATCCAGGAAAAGGGAAGGACATTCTGCCCAAGGGGACCCCAACCCTTCTGGAAGGGTTGGAAAGACTGACACCAACCAGAGCCCTTGTACATGTGGGGTGATCTCTGGTAAGCTTATTAGTATGTTTATAGGTTCTTCATTGTTTTTCATGTTTTTTCTGCAATGCAAAATTTTACCTTAAGAAAAAGTCTACTTGCTTAGAGACAGCCACGTGGTAACTTATGTGTGGCAATTCTGCTGTTTACACCCTCTGATGAGAAAAGCAATGCAGGCCTGCTTAGGTCATCTGGCTTGCCGGGGAATGCAGTGTAGGCAGGGAACTGTGCTGGCTGGAAAAACCTCACTCAGGAGGGAGATGCAGGCAGGTCTCTGCCCAAGAGAGGGGACAGCTGGGGAACCGGGACCCTAGAGTGGGTACCCTTCCAGATCATGGAGAGACTATACAGGTGCAGTTGCCTTGAACTGACACCACCCACTTGGCATGCAAGAACATGTGCAGACACATAGTAGGCTGTATCTAGATCTCCTGGCAAGCAGGGTGCCTGGCAGTGCACCAACTGCTGCTGTTCCCCTTGTTCATGTGTCCTGCCTTGGAGGACAGATTCCCCCTCCTCAGCCCAGCCCTGCATACCCTTGAGAAGCAGCTGGCCAGAGCCAGAGGCAACTGACTCCTTCCAGCTGCCCTCAGAGGCACAGTGAGAGCTTTGCTCTGCTAATCCCATCGCCAGCTCCACACTCCCTCCCTCAACCGAAGGACGCTGTGACTCCATTAGGGTTTGTACCAGTATAAGTTTATTCACACATCCGTTTTCATAGAAATGCCAGGTTTGAGTGAAGTAACAAATCCAGAGTGGCTATGTTAATGGACCCCAATGGCCACAAACAGGAACTGAGAGGCCAGGAGGCCTCCAAAGCAGCCCCCCTCAATTGCACTCCGATGAGGGTCGAGCCCCCTCCCACTCACTCACTGTACCATACGGTAGCCAGGCCCTTGAAGAAAAGGGGAGGTGGAAAGTTGCTTTCTGGCACCACAGCAGGATCTGTTCGTTGGAGCCCACCAGGCTCATGCTGTCTGTCCTACATGGGACTTCAAACCGCATGTTATAAGAAAAGGAGTGGGGTCGGGGTACCTGATCACTGGGGGCTATCAGCACAGAATTCAGTTTCTGCTGGGACCAGGTATACCCCGAAGAGGAGGTGGCAGAATGCCCTAATGCCCCAGCTCCCTGCACTGAGAGGTGAGCCCCACCAGGCAAGCGCCAGGAGCAGCAGTTCCCTACAGCACAGGAGAATTCATGGAGTCCTTCCCTGCGATGGTGCAGTTAGGGCTGTTCAAGAATGAGACTTCAGCCCTGTGGAAGAGCATTTGGACTGTGTGCTCCCCCCTGCTCCCCCGGGGACTGGACTAACTCTGCTATCACAAGGAGAACCAGGCTGAAACACACTGGCTAGTACATTCTGGGTAACAGGAAATACACAGGACAGGGAGAGCTCTTGGTCTCTCCTCTAGATCCAAACCGGGACTACAGTGCAGAACAGGAACCTCTGGGGTGAACACATGCAATTAGCATGACCCAATATGCAGTTCGGTCATTGCTACAAGAACTTATTTGTTTACTCCTAGATTGCTCCAGACCCCTCCCTACCAAAGCAAATGCTGCCAGTGACCCTCACCCTGGCTGCATCCTGACAGCTTCCCCTCATTGGTATGCCTGGGAGGTACCTCCTCTCCCAACGCAAGGGAAGCTGGGTAGCAGCCATGATTGCAGGAGTGTCTCTGATCCTACAAGACAGAGGTGCAGCTAACTCACCACAAGAGGCAGCTGCGGGCAGTTTTCTGTTCCCTTGTTAGTTATGGTGGCATGGGCATTCACAGGCAGCAGGAGCTGTGCCCTCCCAGGGAAAAATCAAAATAAAAAGCCACTGAGGAAAGAAGGAAGCTGAACCAGGCCTCCTAATCCATACTCCCTGCCCAAGTGATACCAAGTCCCTCTCCCACGCCAGCCTGCAGAGCTACAGGCAGTAATGCCGCCAAGAGTCCTTCATTCTTCCCACCAGGAAACCACAGGAAAAATATGGCGACAGGTGCCGCGGTGCTGGTTCCCCAGGAGGCATCAGCCTGTTCCAGTGGGCAGTGCTGAGTACAGCCACAACCCCTGCCAGGCATGGCTCTCCGCTTCCAGCTGAGGCCAGGGCAGCTGCGGGGGAAAGGCACTTGGACAACAGAGGAACACTCCCCTCATGTGGCAGAGGCAAACTGCAGTACACACACAGTGCCACAGCCCCGGTGCTGCTGAGCACAGATCCCATCCTCCTGCCCCACCCGCGTATCGTGTTTGGGGCTGGCTGCAGACCAGCACACCCCTAAGCTTCCCTAGACCCACCCCCAGCGCTGCAGAGCTGAACTGCCCTGGAGCTTCAGGAGCCAGTGGCATCTGTGCCCAACACGAGCTCAAAGGGGAGGGGAAGGAGGGAGAGACATGTTGTCCATACTGTGACAGACACCAGGTGTTTTTCTAGGGCATCCCCTCACCAGGACAAAACACCAGCACAGAGAGGATATTACACAACATTGTGTTTCAATGGCCAGGCCTCGCTAGGAACAAGGCTCACACAGAGGAGAGACCCCTCTCCCCACATGCTGCAGAAGACAGAGGTGAGGAGGGGTTTGGAGACAAAAGGAGAACAGCTGAACTAAGCTCCAGGGGCTACACTGACGTCATAGCTCCCCATCAGCCCTGCTCCGTGGATCCAGGAGCAGAGGCTAGGGTGCTGACTCAGGTGGCACAGCCAGCCCTTAGGCGTACTCAAGCTGCGCAGGGCTGTGGGTGTCTTCGTTCTTGTGCTCTGCACCGGGCATGCTCGCCTTCCCCTCGCCGCTGCTGCCACTCTCAATGGGTTTGGCAGAGATGTAGTCCCGCACTTCAATCTCCATCCGCTTCGCTTTCAGAGCCGCTGTGTGCAGCTTCTCCAGGAAGTCTGGCATGCCTGGCAGGAAAGGCAATGACACAGTGAGCACCAAGGACGTGCAGGGAGGGGACATCTGGACTGCTCCAAAAACAGGCTCATACCTCAACACAAACAGCAGACAAAACAATCTATCCAGTGTCTACCACACAAAGGGAGCACCCATCCCCGCAAAACCTAGGCACCTCCATGCCCCCCCCCCGCGGAGCTAAGGAGCCACCTGACTAAGAGTTAGGAATAAGTATGGTAGCCAGGAACTCCCAACTGGGTCACTGACACACTGATCTCGAGGTACAGAGAGGCGAGGTGACTTGCCTAGTTTCCTCCTCTAAGCAGGGCCAATGGTGCTATGGGGTGGCGAGGGAAAGCACACACAAAAACACTCACAGGAAGGTGTACTCTCTTGTTCACAGAGATGCTATCAAATCAAGAAGGACTTGGCAGGGCCATGGCAGTAAACTTTCTGTTCTACATGAAGCTAGATTAAGGTTGCCCAAACACTTTCCATTACAAGACCCTCTTTTCAGTTGTGTATACATTTGCCAAACATTAACTTTGGGTTAAAATTTCTCATGACATGTTTCTGCCTCCAGCTGAATTTGTCTGGGAAGTTTCAACTGTTCACTCATTTCTGAGGAGGAAGCTAGTTAAAACAAAGTCTTCCAACTATTTCACTGAGAAGCTCTGCCACTCCCATGCTTTGCAGCAGGGTCTTGAAATTTCGCTGGGTAGATGCTGTGGTGTCACGGATGTGACTTGTGCCATCCCAGTGAAAAATTAATCCAAATTTGGCCAAATCGCAAGCATCTGAAGAAGTCTCAGTTTGCACTTTAGAAGTTCACTAAATCACCCTAGATTCCATCTGCACTGAACATGCTCCATCCCCTCACAACCCCTATGTGTCATTCCCAAGTGAGCCTGCTCCATCCTGGGGCTGATCAGGACTTGCCCTGCAATTGCTCCTCCTAACTGTTGCTATGTCACTGGAACTTAGAGCAGGGAGCCTGTCTCTCCTTTGCTGAGTGCTCCCCCTTCTGGTACCCAGGAAATAAGGAGGTAGAAGGAAGAAGCACCTCTGTAGACGAGTGAGAAAATGGTGGTAGGGTTATGGGAACCAGAGGGTGGGAAGGAGCATGGGGGAACAAGCAGGCTGGGGTACAGGAACACAATGGTCTACAGCCACTAGAGTATACTTCCCCAAAACCTGGTATCAAAGTTCTCAGGCTCCAGACTCCTCTGCTGTCAGCAAATTTCTGTGAAACCACTGGCAAAGTGTCATCCCCCTTTAGTGCAGGTCCACGTGCAGTAAGAGATAGTCGTTGTACTATTCCCCTCTGTTAGCTCAAGTGGGAGAGGGCTGGGTTTGCAAAGGGCTGAATCCTGCTGACGGCCCATGGGCAGATCAGGCTGATTCTACAGTGAGAGAAGTTGTTTTTTTGCCTTTTTTTTTTTAAATTTGGAAGCTACTTCCCAAAAAAGCTACACTGAAAGAATGTTAAAGATGCAAAGTCAAGCACTCAACAGTTAGGAAATGACAGAATTAAGGTTGCCCAGGCAACCTTCATTTGTCCCCTTGTGTGTCTGTATTAGGATAGTCTTTGGTTACATGATCACATAATATTTTTCCCCCCAGAGGACCCAGACCGTGTGCTCTGGGAATGAATGACGGTTGTGTAGTGACAGAGGCTGTCTGTAGAACCTCTGCCTCATTTAGTGCAAAAGGCAGGTGGTGTGTATTTACTCCTCCTTTCATGGGTGTTAGGAGATACACAGGTCCAAGTTGAGAACTGCAATGGAAGTGGAGCAGAGCTGTTCTTTGATCAGACAGAGGGCTATAAAAATGCTAAGTATTTCTGAAAAAAATAAAAATAAAAATCAGACCTTAGGTATCACAAGCTGGGCACCCAAAATTAGTGAACACTTGGCAATTTTGGTCTTATTCTGTGCCTCAGCTGCAAAAACGGGGATACCAGCATCACTTACTCTCACAGGGTACATTCATTAATGTTTGCAAAAAGAAAAGGAGTACTAGTGGCACCTTAGAGACTAACCAATTTATTTGAGCATAAGCTTTCGTGAGCTACAGCTCACTTCATCGGATGCATTCAGTGGAAAATACAGTGAGGAGATTTATATAACCAAGTGGCAGTGTTTGGCCAGCTTATTGGGGAGAAGACCCAATCCCAGTTTGACCCCCTTGGGTTTTGGGGTGGCCAAAGGGCACGGGCCACATAAACCTTCCCACATGCGGCCTGCAAGTGCTATTGATCACTCCAACGACCTAAGGGAGGGCGTGAAACTGGAAGGGCCTGGTGTAATTCCCACCAAGGAATGGGAGAGATGCTGGGGCATCCATGGGAACGTTGGTGGCTTTGAACTTCCCCAGGTCACCAGCTAAAGTGACCCCGCTCAGTTCGATCTCAAAGGGGGGGGAAGAGATGTGACGAAGCGGGATTGTTCTTAATGGTTCCTCTGAATAGTGTGGTATGTAAGTCTCCCCACTGTATTTTCCACTGAATGCATCCAATGAAGTGAGCTGTAGCTCACAAAAGCTTATGCTCAAATAAATTGGTTAGTCTCTAAGGTGCCACTAGTATTCCTGTTAGAATCATAGAATCATAGAATATCAGGGTTGGAAGGGACCTCAGGAGGTCATCTAGTCCAACCCCCTGCTCAAAGCAGGACCAATCCCCAATTTTTGCCCCAGATCCCTAAATGGCCCCCTCAAGGATTGAACTTCACAACCCTGGGTTTAGCAGGCCAATGCTCAAACCACTGAGCTTCTTTTTGCGAATACAGACTAACACGGCTGCAACTCTGAAACCATTCATTAATGTTTGTGAAACGCTCAAATACTATGGTAAGAGTAACACAGAAAGAGTCAGGAGGAAATTCCAAGTCCTGGGTCCATCCAGTGCAGGTTTTGGACGGTGTGTGATAAGCAAAGCCTGAGGGCATATATTGAATGAGGAGGATCAAGAGAAACACTGAACTGAAGGAGACGGGTACTATGGGGAAATAGTATTTAGTTACATGATCTCATTTTATTATAGTGCAGATGCCCAAGGGAGCCAAATTAAGGGCTCCTGGACAACCTTAATTCTGTATTGCGCTACTTGAGCACTTGACTTTGCAATCTTAATGGTTTAATGTATTTCTACACAGGTTCTTATCCCATGCTCGAAATTGTAGTACCCTAGTGCTTTCAGTCATGCACTATGTACGGTGACTAACAAGCATCGTGTGCAGCTCGTTCTCTCCCCTGGAGAGCGGTGTGTGGCAGGGTACAGGTCAGAGTAGTGCACCGAGTACTTGGAGTGGAAGAGGAGGTGGTTTAGCTGGTGAGAGATTTCATTCCACAGCTGCAGACCATCCCCTGAGAAAGCTCTGTCTCCTGTACAAAAGAGCTTCACCTCATGGAAGAGTTTTCCATCATGCCCAAGATGCAAAGCTGCTGACCAGTGTCTTCCCTGACAGAGCGTTAGCCTCAGTTAGATATGCTGGTCCCAGACCACTGAGCACCTTGAAAGCAAGAACTGAGAACTTGGTTTTAACTTGCTTTTTGATGGGAAGCCAACATAGGGAGTGGATGCCAGACCTGCTCTTCTCACTGTAGCCCGTACTGCTGAGAAGATGCACTGCCATGTTCTGCAGATGACATCAGTAGAGGTTCTCAAACTAACAGACCCTGGTGTAAGCAGGACCCAGCTGGTGGCAAGGTGTTTTCAATTAAGGTCCTTGTCTCTAGCACTCCCTCATGCTGTTGGTCTGAAAGAGCCCAAGCTTTAGAGCATCCATTTTACACAGGCTTTTGGGCCAACATGGATAGAGTCTGGGGATGGGAAACTCAAGTCCTTTAAATGGTAGTGGGTTGATTAAGGTACAGAATGGATGGTGTCTCAGAGGTTCTGAGCAGAGCAGAGCATTCGAGGATAAGTCACCTTGTTGCACAGCCCTTCCACTCCAATCCCGGACCAGGAAGCTTCTATGTTTTCACCCACTCTCGAGGGGAGACTAAAACACACCATGTGCATCTGCAGTGGCCAGTGAGCCGATCCCAATCGAGTGCTTGGAGGGTCACCCCAGGAGGCATTTCGGAGGGGATGAGAGTTTGTTCAGCTTCTTCCGGATCTTACAAGTAGTGATTTTTTTTAATGGCAAGTTCCAGTCTGTGGGTCTCAACCCTGGCAGAGTGCCTTTAACTGCCCCTGGGGTGCAGAGAACACCTGGTGCGAGGGGGAAGGAACACCATTCCAGAGTGCAAGGATTGGAGGTACAAAGGCCACAGTGGCACAGTAGGTAAATCCCCTTAAGTGTCAGACAGACAAGAAGTCACGGACAAGCCTCCCAATTCCCATTTCCCCTTGATTGCTGATCAAGGGAAATTAGTGAGAATCAGCATCGCTGGGCAGCTCTCCCCTACAGTTATCTTTCTCAGGTTCTTCAAACTGAAGCCCCTGCATAGTGCACCTACCCCTCCCCATAGGGACAGAGAAACCAACAGCAAAGTCCTGAGGCCCTTCACCACACATTCCCCAGATCCCCCACACCAGACCTCTAGTTTGTGTACTGAAGTCTGTCTGTAGTTCCCAAAAGAAGAGGTCCTTTGGACCAACACAGGCAAGGTTCTCCACAAAACAGCCTCCCACTGCTTTCATTCCAGAACCAAGGAGACCGGAGGGGCTCATGGTGCTCAGAGCATCCAGACCCCCAAAGCAGAGTAGGGATGAGAGTATCATTTAAAAGGTTAACCGGTTAACCAATTAATGGAGAGGGGCCCGCAGGGCTGGGGCTGCACCAGCCCGCCAAGGGCTGGGGGTTAACAGTTAGGCTGGGTTAACGGGTAACACTAATGCTTACTGGTTAACTGTTTACTATTTTACACTCCTAGTCCAGAGCGAAGGGTTAGAGCCAGTGACTCACCACTAGAGACCATCCAGCTGACACAGTAGCGCGGGAACACTGTCTGTGGATTGTCGCTGTACGTCAGCAGGTAATCAAAGCCGTTCTGCAAGAGGAATACGTTTAGCGATACCTGACCTGTCACAGGAACCTCTTGGCAACCAGGGCTGATCTTACAAAGCCACTACCTAAACGGGGCAGACAACAGCCCCCATCTCAGCCAGCCTGTAGTGCTGAATGCCTCACAGGAAGGTGTTTTAGTTGCACAACACTATACCACACAGGGAACTTTCTTCCTGGCTGCCACTTAAAACCAGGAAGCATGAGAATTGAAAACAAATGTATCAGAATCCTGATAGTGTCTTTGCAGATACTACTGGCATTATGTGTTTTAAGTCTGAACTATTTTTCTCCTCCAGTGTCTCTTCAATTGGGGCAAGAGAAAGCTGACATCCAGGGCTTTGATGGAGATCTGCAAAAACACGAAGACAGACGGGACATGGAGGAAGCAAGCAAGGGGCTCAGAGTATGGAAATCATATTTAGCCCCAGCTTCAGGTGTCTTGAGCAAGCTGCTTCACCCATTTGCTCCATTTTCCCATATGACGACAGCATATTTAGTCAGCTCCTTCCCGGGAGAGCTGAGGGTTAGTTTGTGAAGTGTTAAATGTGTCATTTACCACGCTACAAAACCCTGAGCAGGAGGATCTGAGAGAGGCAGCAGATCAGAGACCTTTGGAACAATACATAACAGCAATAAAATTAGAGGTAGTGGGTTCAGAAATAAGAGCATAAAATACAAATGGGAGGCATGGCCCCACAGTATGCCAACATTTTTATGGCTGACTTAGAACACCGCTTCCTCAGCTCTCGTCTCCTAATGCCCCATCTCTACTTGCACTACATTGACATCATCTTCATCATCTGGACCCATGGAAAAGAAGCCCTTGAGGAATTCCATCATGATTTCAACAATTTCCATCCCACCATCAACCTCAGCCTGGACCAGTCCACACAAGAGATCCACTTCCTGGATACTACAGTGCTAATAAGTGATGGTCAAATAACCACCACCCTATACCGGAAACCTACTGACTACTATTCCTACCTACATGCCTCCAGCTTTCACCCAGACCACACCACACGATCCATTGTCTACAGCCAAGCTCTGCGATGCAACCGCATTTGCTCCAACCCCTCAGAGAGAGATAAACACCTACAAGATCTCTATCAAGCGTTCTTACAACTACAATACCCACCTGCTGAAGTGAAGAAACAGACTGACAGAGCTAGAAGAGTACCCAGAAGTCACCTACTACACGACAGGCCCAACAAAGAAAGTAACAGAACGCCACTAGCCGTCACCTTCAGCCCCCATCTAAAACCTCTCCAGCGCATCATCAAGGATCTACAACCTATCCTGAAGGACAACCCATCACTCTCACAGATCTTGGGAAACAGGCCAGTCCTTGCTTACAGACAGCCCCCCAACCTGAAGCAAATACTCACCAGCAACCACAAGCCACAACACACACACTAACCCAGGAACCTATCCTTGCAACAAAGCCCGTTGCCAACTGTGTCCACATATCTATTCAGGGGACACCATCATAGGACCTAAACACATCAGCCACACTATTAGAGGCTTGTTCACCTGCACATCTACCAATGTGATATATGCCATCATGTGCCAGCAATGCCCCTCTGCCACATACATTGGCCAAACCGGACAGTCTGTATGTAAAAGAATAAATGGACACAAAGCAGACTTATAAGAATTATAACATTCAAAAACCAGTCGGAGAACAGTTCAATCTCTCTGGTCACTCGATTTCTGATCTCAAAGTGACTATCCTTCAACAAAAAAACTTCAAAAACAGACTCCAACGAGAGACTGCTGAATTGGAATTAATTTGCAAACTGGACACCACTAAATTAGGCTTGAATAAAGACTGGGAGTGGATGTGTCATTACACAAAGTAAAACTATTTCCCCCATGTTTATTTTCCCCCCCCTACTGTTCCTCACGTTCTTGTCAACTGCTGGAAATGGCCCATCTTGATGATCACTACAAAAGGTTTTTTTTCTCTCCTGCTGATAATAGCTCACCTTAACTGATCACTCTCGTTAAAGTGTGTATGATAACACCCATTGTTTCATGTTCTCTGTGTGTGTATCTACCTACCTACTGTATTTTCCACTGCAGGCATCCGATGAAGTGGGATTTAGCCCACGAAAGCTTATGCTCATATAAATTTGTTAGTCTCAAAGGTGCCACATGTACTCCTGTTCTTTTCTCAAATCTAGATTCCAATCAGCTAGCTGCTACACAGGTTGACCAGCCAGAGTTCAAGGGGCAGATCTAGGCTGCTATGTATTCTGCTAATACCACATAAAAGCTCCTCCCAAGTGACTGAAAGCACAAGGGCCAAGATTTCCAAGAGTGACTAGCAATTTTGGGTGCCTGAGACTCCTTAGTTGGGGATTAGTCCTGCTTTGAGCGGGGGTTGGACTAGGTGACCTCCTGAGGTCCCTTCCAACCCTGATATTCTATGATTCTAGGGGCCTGATTTTCAGAGGGTGGGTGCTCAGCACTTAGGAGGAGTTTCACGTTGGGCACCCAAAAATCGGTCATTTTCAAAAGTAACATAACACAACACTTGAAAAAGTACCCGTGTAAGGCAAGTCAGAGGACATGATCACAGTGGTCTCTTCTGGCCTTGGAATCTATGAAAATCTTGGCTAAACTGTGACCTTTGACTTTGGGTACTTAGCTCAATAGCAAAACCAAGATGACACCAAGGAAGTGACAGCTCTGTGGCCGTGACACAGGAATCTCTTGGCGCCAACTGGCAAGGAGGTTAAAGAAATCTTCCGAGTCTGGAATATACATGGTAGCTCACCAGGAGAGCATCACGTAATAGAAGCCTATGTCACTCTGGTCATCAATATAATTGTAAAATGTATGTATGGATACTATGCAAGGAGTTACGTATATACACTGAAAATATGTTCTCAAAGAATATCTAGGCACTGGTCACCAACAAAAGTGAAAACACAAGTTTCCTGTCAGACAAGAGATGTTTACCTGTCTGGCTATTTAAATGCACATTAATAATTGTATGTTTCGCAATGAGCCACCTATCACCAATCTGAACTGAATGCTAATGAAGGACTGTAAGAAATTTCAAAGAGAACAACAGTGTGTGAGAGTGAGTATGGACCCTACCTAGAGGTGCACCTCGCAGGTTTGTTCTATTATATTTGGGGACAAAGACGACATGCTGGAATCCATCACCTAGGAAGCAAGTGCACAGTGAATTTGCTTCATGAAAGTGGAATCTCAGCTAGGCTTGGCTGAAAAAGCTGGAGAGAAATTTGGGCAAAAAGCTTCTTTAGACAAGACAGTAACTTGTTACAAAAAACAACAAGAAGTCTGGTGGCACTTTAAAGACTAATAGATTTATTTGGGCATAAGCTTTCATGGGTGAAAAACCCACCTGGCATCTGAAGAAATGGGTTTTTTACCCATGAAAGCTTATGCCCAAATAAATCTGTTAGTCTTTAAAGTGCCACCGGACTCCTTGTTGTTTTTGTGGATACAGACTAACACAACTACCCCTCTGATACTTGTCAAGTTCAGTCTTCAGAAAGAATTATATTCTTTTATATGTAACCATTTTTCCCCAACATTCTTACTCAGTATCACCTGAATCTCTGTTCTTTATTCTTGTTTTCACTATAAACATAACTCAGTCCTGTGGTGTTAAGCTAAGAGGTGGCCCTGAGTTGAATCTGACAAGCTGGTGTGTCCTGTTCCTTTGGGAACAGCAGGCCAGGTAATTCTGAGAGTGTTCAGTGGACAAGGGCTGGATACTGCAGGGGACACTCGGAGGACTCAGGGGTTGGTGTGTGCCTACTGCTACCCATACATACAATGCGAGGCCTGCAGGGCCTGGAAGGCGGTACTTGTGCTGCCAGAGGCTGGTAGTTTCAGGGAGCTGATCCACGGCAGGCACAGACAAGACTTCCTTATGCTAAAAGCAGGCAATTGTCCAGGGCCTCACAGTCCTGGGTCCCGTCAGAGTGGTTTGCTGTCATTAGGGCTAGGCGAATCCATACAGCTCTCCCCTTGATACTTAGAGCTGGTATCCCTGGTGCAGCAGCTGCAGACCGCAGAGCTTTAGTCAGCATATTCAGTTACGACCTTTCAGAAGAGCTCCTGTCCTGACTCAGATTCCACCTGGGGAGGCCTCAACGACGGCTGACTGTTCCCCTGGTTTTCCAGACTGGCCAGGAACTTACCTCATCGAATGTCTTGTGTGGTCGGATAACCATCTGGGATTCATAGGTTCGAACCCGCACAAACTCAGGATCTTCTGGGACACCTGGGTGATCCACTGCTCTGGAATATATGCAAGATGAGAAAAGGGTATTTATAATCCTGGGTAATCCCTCCTGAGGTTAGCTTAAGACCTGGGTCTGAATGGACAGATGCTGACAGACTGTACTAGTCATCACATATGATAAAATATAGACTCTCTCCACAATGGTGAGAACCCAAGCTATTCTCAGAGAACCTCCTGAAATTTTGCAGTCATTTAGAGAGGCTCCAACAGGCAATTAATAGTAATACCTAATTCACAGTGATTTACAAAAGAGGGCATCAACATCCCTATTTTACCAGTGGGGAAACAGAGGCAGAGACATGACTTGTCCAAGTTCACACAGGCAGTCTGCGGAAGAACAGGAAGCAGGCCTGCCATCTTATCCACCCTGCCTCCCCTGCCATTGATAAAGCATTTTAAGTAGTCATTGTGTGTCTATGAACCAGGTATCGCTAAGTATGTGACTAAAATGCACACCAGATAGCCCTCTCCAGTATTCTCTCCTAACCCAGTGGTTCCAGAACGGGCTCTTCCACACCACGCTAGACATGACAGAAGGGCTTCTGATAAGGGACCTGAGAAGCCCTGGCCTTTCCAGTTTTGAAGCCACATCCCCCTGTGAAGCTCTCATTCTTTCCTCCACTACTGGATCAAGAACATCGCTCATCCTTCAGCCAGCAGAACGGAGGCCATTCCACGGACTGCAGGGCAGAAGGCTTGCACAGCCATAGCAGCATCCGAGCACCACTGTTTGAGCCTTGTGCTCAACTCAGTTCCAGCTTCCTTCATGCCCTCCTCCCACAAGCATCTCACTCGCTCTCTCCTACGCCTGGAAGGACCCTCTCACTCCTCTTCAAATATCTTGTCAAAGCCCACTTCCTCCAAACAAGCTCCCCCACACCAACGTAACAAAGAAGGGGAACACAATGCACACAGTGCAAAACGAAGAGTAACCTCTTGATCTGTCACCATCTAAACTTCCCTCTCACTCCCATGCCCTTGTCTGCCATCACACCTAGATTGGCAGGGACCATGTTTGACGGTCTACGCAGCAAACGTCAACAGTGCTGTACAAACGCAGGATAGTACGTATCCATGAACGTAGAGACTATATGCTAGGGCATAGGCATAAGAGACTGAATTAAGGTTGTACTGAGGCTCTAGTGGAGACACTTCTGCCCATTCCCTGCCTTGCCCCCAAGTTTGAACTTTTCTGCACTGTCCCCATCCCAGTCCTGTCCTTACCCATGGCTCCTTGTCTCAGTCTATTCTCCTCACCCCTTACAGACTCTATCCCCAGTCTCCTTGCCCAGCTATTCCCAGTTCTCCCCAGGCCCATCTTCTCCCCACTCAATGGCCTCCAGTCCCTCTCCCCCCACCCATATATATTCCTCACTCCCACTAGCTCAGAGTCCCCTTCCCTGGACTTGCCATTCAGTCTCCTCCCTGCAGTGGCAGTCCCCACCACTGTGCCAGCCTCCAGTCCCAGTCGGTTCCCCATCTCCACTTCAAAGCTTCTTGCTCCAGCCTACTCCCCCTTGCCCCCCAGGTCCAGCTCTTCCCCTCTGCCCCCCACATTTGAGTCATGTGGCTTACTCCTTCACACTGCCTGGGTGCCAGCCTGAAGGCCAATGGCATTTTGGGATGTATAAGTAGGGGCATAGCGAGCAGATCGAGGGACGTGATCGTTCCCCTCTATTCAACATTGGTGAGGCCTCATCTGGAGTACTGTGTCCAGTTTTGGGCCCCACACTTCAAGAAGGATGTGGATAAATTGGAGAGAGTCCAGCGAAGGGCAACAAAAATGATTAGGGGTCTGGAACACATGAGTTATGAGGAGAGGCTGAGGGAGCTGGGATTGTTTAGCCTGCAGAAGAGAAGAATGAGGGGGGATTTGATAGCTGCTTTCAACTACCTGAAAGGGGGTTCCAAAGAGGATGGCTCTAGACTGTTCTCAATGGTAGCAGATGACAGAACGAGGAGTAATGGTCTCAAGCTGCAGTGGGGGAGGTTTAGATTGGATATTAGGAAAAACTTTTTCACTATGAGGGTGGTGAAACACTGGAATGCGTTACCTAGGGAGGTGGTAGAATCTCCTTCCTTAGAGGTTTTTAAGGTCAGGCTTGACAAAGCCCTGGCTGGGATGATTTAACTGGGAATTGGTCCTGCTTTGAGCAGGGGGTTGGACTAGATGACCTTCTGGGGTCCCTTCCAACCCTTATATTCTATGATTCTATGATAGCTCAGGAGAGAGAGGCTCCTTGCTCTCAGTTCTGGTGCCCAGCCCAACCCTGGCACAAAGCTGCCAACAATAGGGAAAGTCCAGCTTCACTCCCTCCAGCCCAGGGCTACAGCGTATTGCTTATTCATACCGTGGAGACGGCACAAGCACAGCCGGGTCAGCATTACGAGCTGGAGATGCTGGAGCATGTACAATGCACATAAAATCTCTGAAGATTTTAGCTTAAAATCAAAGAAGTCTCTCTACTGAGCACATGTGAACTGAGATTTTTCAAAGAGCTACAGCTTGGCCAAATTAGGGCAGATTTTCACAGGCTCAGCAAAAGGCACATCCCTGATATAAAGTCCACCCTTCCTGCCAAATTTCGAGTCCCTCTTCCAAGATGCAGGAGCACACAAGCTTTTCAAAGAAAAGGTGATCAGAATTTACTACTACAAAACGTTTTTCCCTAGCCTTATTCTCAGAAACAGCTGAACCAGCAGAGTTTCTGAGGCAGACACCCAGCACAGAAAATTTGAAAACAGGGTCTTATAATGGGAAGGGTCAGACAAAATCATTTATAGGCATGGCTGGTAGCATCTATAACTAACTGCCTATAACAACCCACTGACCCAGGTAAAAAGAAGGGCAAAGGAGCAAGGCCTACAGAAGAAACAATGCCTTTGCTATCTTTGTCAGAGTGACAGTGAGTCTAAGGACAACCCCATCCTCACACCAGGGTGCTAGGTGTGGCAGGAACAGCTAGATTGCATCAGTGATACATACCGTGACACCAGCACCATCAGATTGTTTTCCTGGTCCACGTTGTACCGCCGAACATACACATAGTCCCGTGAATACATCGGGTACTAAAGGAACAAAGACATGCAAATCAGTCCCTTCTAATGCAGACAGGCTGTCAGAAAGCAAAGGGGGTGAGGGAAGGAGGAAGGAACACTCACCGGGAAGTGAGTAACCCAGTGAACCACCTCTGAGCCAGTGGATAGGTCTCTCTCAATCACATCCAGTTTGATGACCAGTGAATCCCATTTCTTCCTGTACTCTGTGTCCAGCTATGGAACAAGGGAAGAATTTTGACAATTGTGTCATGGGGTGAAGCTGTAGCATGTTTCTTCTATAGTCGAGGTTATGGCTGGAGGAGGTGACCCCCATCTTAGAAAGGCAGACAAATGAGCAGTTCCTTATACTGTGGAAAAGCCAAACTCTACCTGCCAAAAATAAACACTGCTTTTGGGAGCCAGGCAGCATTACAGGAAGTTTATGATCTAAAGATACTCTTGCTGGGAAGAAACACACAGTGGCAGGGATGGCTACTGCAGCAGTGACACAGGATTTTATAGCTTTTCCCCTCTATAAGGCTGCATTGAGAAGCAGATGCTCTACTGAGGAGGACTGCGGTTAGACGGCCCTAGAGTCAGACTCTAGAGGACTACAACTGACCATCACACACAAAAAATTGTAGGCAAATACTAGAATAATCTTGGTGACTCCACCTCGTTCCACTGACACAGAAAAATGGTAAAATAAAAAACACCGTATCACCTGTGGGCAAATACTTTTCACAAAATGACAACTCCATATCTGACCTCTCAGTCCTTGTCCCTCCACAAAAAAAACCTGCACAACGCCTTCAAAATACAAGCCTGGGAGCTTAAATTCATAACTTTACTAAACATTCAAAATCACAGTGAAGACAGACATTGGATTTATGGCTTATTACAACGATCTGTAACCCACTAACCCCCCTTTTTTGTTCTATGACCGCAGAGGTGTTAACAGGCCACTTCACCTTGAATGGTTTCTTATAATCCATGTTAACTACTTATGCTAAACAATCTGTTCCTCCCTGTATTTAGCTGGGACACTAACCCCTAGTCTACACTAGTTAGGTCGATGTAAGGCAACTTACATCAATCTAAGGCCTTGTCTACACTACAGAGTGTTGTTGACAAAATTTATGTCTACGATCAAAAAGTGCTATAAACATCGCTATTGCACGTTCACACTATGCTCCCCTTGTGGGCAGGGAAAGTCCACACTTGGTGCTCTTGCACAGACAGTGAGAGCAGTGCACTGTGGGTAGCTATCGCACTGTGCTGCTCACCACTTTCTGAAGCTAGGACTTGTGGGAAGGTGGAGTGGATCGCAGAGCATCATAGGTGTGAGCTCAACGTCCCATGATGCATTATTTTGTGTCCCAGTCTTCCCATGGTCTTCTGACTGTATTTTGCAGCATTTTTCAACAGCCCCAGTTTACTGTGCGTCCATCTCTGCGTGAAGGGATCCTACACTCCTCTCTACTGTTGTGGTCATGTGGTTGTGAACACATCACGGACGGACATGCTGTACATCATGAGCTCCCAAACGGAACAGGAATCAGCGTTGCCTGACCTGCTGCATGCCATGGAAAGAACCACCACCTGATTACTTCAGGCATTCACAGAGCAGCTGCACATGGTGGACCGTTGCTTTTGGGTTTGGAAAACAAGCACCGAATGGTGGGATTGCATCATTATGCAGGTCTGGGATGACGAGCAGAGGCAGCAGAAGTTTCGGATGCAGAAAGCCATTTTCCTGGAACCGTGTGCGGAGCTCACTGCAGCCCTGTGGCGCAGACACACCAAAATGAGAGGTGCCTGCTCAGTGGACAAGCACATGGCGATGGCAGTATGAAAGCTGTTAACTCCATCCAGTTGGTCGCAAATCAGATTGGGTTACGAAAGTAGGCCGTGGGGACTGTGTTAATGCAAGTGCGCAAGGCCATTAATCGCATCCTGCTACGAAGGACCATGACTCTTGGCTATGTGCATGAAACAGTGAATGGTTTTGCAGAAATGGAATTCCCTAACTGTGGCAGGACGATAGATGGCACACGTTCCAATTTTGACCCTGGACCATCTTGTGACAGAGTACATCAATAGAAAGGGGTACTTCTCCGTGGTATTGCAGGCACTTGTTGATCACTATGGGCATTTCACTGACACCAAGGCGGGGTGGTCCGGGAAGGTGCATGACACAAGCATCTTAAGGAACACTGGCCTGTACAGAAAGCTGCAAGCAGGGACTTTCTTTTCAAACCAGAAGATTTGGGGGGGGGGGGGGGGGAGATGATGAAATGACCAGTGACCTTAGGAAACCCAGCGTACCCCTCACTCCCATGGCTCATGAAGCCTTACATGAGAAACCTGGAAAACAGCAAGGAGTGCTTCAACAATTGGCTGTATAGGTGCAGAATGACCACGGCATAGGTGCAGAATGACCACGGAATGTACATTTGGCAGATTAAAAACACGCTGATGATGCCTTTATGGCAGGTAAGATCTAAGTGAGGAAAACATTCCAGCGGTCATAGCTGCCTGCTGCATGCGCCATAATCTTTGTGAGACTAAGGATGAAAGGTTTGCCCGGGGTGGAGTGCTGAGGCAAATCACCTGGCTGCTGGTTTTGAGCAGGCTGATACAAGGGCTATTAGAGGGGCACAACAGGGGGCAATTCGAATCAGGGAGGCTTTGAGGCAGCATTTTGATAATGAGAACCAGTAATGTGTATTTCTATACATCAATCTGCCAGGCTTCGTTAATCTGAGTTTTGTTTGTTTGCCTAACTCTTGACATGATTCCTAAGCAGGATTTGCAGTAAACAAATGATTAAACTCATGCCTATGTTTTACTACCAGTTGCAATCAATAGGTGTAGGGCACAAAGACTGGTTATCTTTCAGAGAGTGTGCTTTTATTAAACACCAATTAACACACAGAAAAGGCTTGGTGGGAAGGAAGAGATCAGTGAAGGGCAGTGTAAGCTCTCAGAGCTGTGCGTAAATCAACTATCATTTTGGAAGCTATCCGAAGGGGTGGAGTGAACGGGATACCGAGATGTTCTGAAAAGTTGAAAGGAATGTATGGGAGGAGTTTGGAGAAGGCATGGAAAACAGTTCTGTATTGGCTGCAGAGGGTAGAGCACGCATCTGTTCTGACTGCAGTATGACTAGGGACTTCAGCATCTCTGTTTGCTCTTCCATGTCTTTTATCATCTGCTCATGGACCTTTTGAATGCACGCCTCACTCTCCTTTCTGTCCTGCCTTTCCATTTCTCGCCATTCCCTGCATTCTCTGCCTCAGAGGATTAGAGCACCTTTTGGAACATGTCTTCCTCGCTACACCTTGGTTGCTTCCTTATCTGCCAGAGGCACTCCCCTGAAGGCCACATCTGCAGAAGCACAAGGAACAATACACAGAAGCATGATTGTTAGTTCACGCACAGCACTGAATCATTACAGCAAAATACACCTCTTGTAACATATTAATCACTTTCTCACTGACCCTTAGCAAGCACACACCTTGCCGAACACGCTATGTTTCAAAGGGATCAGTGCAGGCGACTAGGGACAATATTGTAGATTCTGCCACCATTTTCCACATGCAGGGGTCACTGAAGCAGATATCTCACTCCTGAGGATAAGCAAGGATACCAGGGTACATCTACTGCACACGTGCAGCTTCAGACTTGGTCCCTACACGGCTGACCTGTGTGCCGCTTTAGTCCCTGAACAAGTGATTGCCAAGTGGCATGGGAAAGTTTCCTACAATGGGGGAAGGAACAAAGCAGCTCTGCCAAGGAACCTTTGGCAGAGGATTGGCGAGTACTTCCAGGAAAGTTTCCTAGAGATTTCTCTGGAGATCTCTCTGGAGGATTCCTGTGAAATCTCGGTGTGCATCAACACACTGTTCCACCACACTGCTTAGCTGCGCAGAGTAATTTGGAGCACACTCAAACCCAGCTAGTCTTGCACATTTCTATCCCTTCACCCACTTCTACAGTATACAAAGCAAAGGGCAGCTGCACGTCATATAACTGAGCAGTATCAAGTCAAAAAGATCACTTACCAGGGGTCTCCTCTCCTTCTTCCTCGCCAGCAAGGGACTGCCGGGACTGGCTAGACACTTCCGGAGTGGAGAAGAGTTCCTGACTTGCTGCCCCACCAGATAAACCGCTGTGGGCTCCACAAAGTCCTACAATTCCACCTCCTCATCCATGACTTTGTCTTTGGGGTTAGGTCCACTGTCTGCTGCTTCCAGCCATGCCAATGTATCCAGGGGGCTATTGATGGTAGGGTTGCCGCCAAGGATGGCGTACAGCTCCTTAGAGAAGCAGCAGGTCTTCGGCACAGCACCAGAGTGACAGTTTGCCTCTCTTGCCACAGCACCAGAGTGACAGTTTGCCTCTCTTGCCTTCTTGTACGCCCACCTCAGCTCCTTTACCTTCGCTCTGCACTGCATAGTGTCCTGATTGCAGCCCTTATTACACAAGCCACAAGAAATCTCCCCGTAGGTATCGAAATTCCTACGGCTGGACCACAGCTCGGACAGGACAACCTCCTTTCCCCACATACACAGCAGATCCAACTCCTCTGCTATGGTCCAAGTGCAAGAGCGTCTGCCACGTGCACCCACCGTGGTCAGCTGGGAAGATGTGAAGTGAGCTCTCCATGCTGAGCAAATAGGAAGTAGAATTTCAAAAATTCCTGGGCCTTTAAAGGGTGATGTTTGCGTACCTGGCTGCAAGGCAGTGGAGTTTGAACTGCTGACCAGATGCGTCAGGATGGGCATTGTGGGACACCTTCTGGAGGCCATTTACAGTGACAAAACCAAATGCGGTGTCTACACTGACACTGTGTCATTAAAATTTTGCTGCAAAAAGCTCTATGCCTCTTGTCAAGGCGGTTTTATTTTAACAGGAGAGTTTTGTCGGCAAAAGTAGCATTGTAGTTTTGTCAATAAAAGCTGCCTTTTGCTGACAAAACTGTAGACAAGGCCGAAAACAGCTTATGTCGACCTATGTCACTGTCTACACTACAGCCTTGCTCCCGCCGAGCTAAGAACCCCACTACACCAACGTAACTGCACCTCCATGAGAGGCATAGGGCTTATGTTGATGTAGTTAGGGTGACACAGTGTCTGTGTAGACACTGTGTTCCTTACATTGGCGGTCTTGTCAATTTCATGGCTCCTCTGGACGCTCTCCCGCTGACATAGTTACCACCGTTCATTGAGCGGCTTTTATTACATTAACGGGAGAGCTCTCTCCCATTGGCATAATGCAGCTACACAAGCGCTCTTACAGTGGCACAGCTGTATCGATACAGCTATGCCGCTGAAAGCTTGTAAGTGTGGACATGGCCTCAGTTGATCTAGTTACATTGATGTAGTGCCAGTGTAGACACTAAGTTGCTTGCATTGATTGTTGCTGCCTTTCAGAAGTGGTTCCACAATGCCCCACACTGACAGTTAAACAGCAAGTGCTCCTGGTGAAGACGCGCACCGCTGACACAAGGAGCATAGTGTGGACATGCAAAAGCAGTTTAATTACTGCGGTGGCTGCAAGTCCATGCAACCTTGGGTCAACTTAACTTTGTAGTGTAGACTTGCCCTCAGTACCTTTCCCAGACCTAAAGAAGAGCTCTGTGCAGCTCAAAAGCTTGTCTCTTTCACCAACAGAAGTTGGTCCAATAAAAGATATTACTTCCCTCACCTTGTTTCTCTAATACTAGGTTGTGCCAGTAGTGAAGTGGGATATGAGAGAAGGATGGCTTTGGCAGCACTAACAATTGCAACTCTGAATATTCTTGCTAACCATATAAAATGTCCAATCCTTTTTTGAATCTTGCCGAGTTTTTGGCCTCAACATCCTATGGCAGCAGGTTTCACAGTCTAATTATGCATTATATGGAGAAGTATCTTATCTAGAATTCATGCCTCCTGAATCCAAATGCCATGCCCTATCTATTGGACCAGGACGGCTACCATTGGGAAAATAGAGTCTCAACTAATTTAAACAGCCCTATCCTGCCAAGTATTTTTGATTCACCAGAAAAGACATACCAGGTAATAAATGTGAAGAGGAGCATAAAATTCGTATCAAGGATTTACTTAACAACGGATCCTAAGGAGATTACCAGCCAGACAGGGCATAAAGCTAACAGGAGGTGAGCAGAAGCTGTATACATATGTAAAGCCAAATAGGCCCACTTCCAGGTGAACTACAGGTGGACTGTTAATACAGAGCAAATCACTCTGCTGTGGGCATCACAACAAAGCAAGCCCTAGGACCTGCACGCAGTGGCTGCCCCTCCTATGCAGATGTTATGTTAAGTGCTGTGGGTAGAGAGTTGTGTTTTATTTCCAACACATCATGCATCCTAGAATTAGAGACATGGGCCCCGAAACACTCACCTGCACATTGAAGAACTGCCTGGGAGTCACATCTGTATACGTCCCAAAGACTGCAGTAAAGGGAAACAAAGAGTCTTGAGATCACAGGTATAAGCCAGTCTGTATCTCAGTTCAGTGGGATCACATGGGAAAGGTCTTTTCCAGAAGCTGCTATCAAGGCTGGAATCATACTACAGAGGAGAGGAGAGGCCATGACCAGAAAGAGGGACAATATGGAGGAGGATGGAGAATTCCAGTGAGAAGCTGGGAGAGGGAACAGTGTCATGTCAGGAGAGGAAGAAGGAAGTAGGTTTTAGGACAGGCCACGCTGAATTTTTGCTCAGCATTTGAGAGCCACGCACAGAGTGTGAACAGGCATCATACCGCGACTGACAACACACATAGTCAGGCAAGGGGGATGGAGGAATTACCTCTGTACTGATACAGGTGGGTCCCTTGTATCGGACGCCTCCATAGCTTGAAGTGCTTCTTGTCCATCACCATCTCCCAGGGGTGCTCCTCGCGAGTGGCTGTTATATCAACATGGGCTTTGGAAACCAGCTTCTGGTGCTCTCCCCCGCTGCCATGGAACAGCCTGGAGACTTCCTCCATGTGCTTCATCTCCTCTGCAGACCTGGAGTGGGAACAGAGGAAAGGCTGTGCTAGTCAGTGCCAAGGCCTTGCCACAGAAGAGGCCAGGATCACCTAGTATTTTGCTACATACATAGCCTACGAGGCTAGCAAAGTATTTTCTGCCTTCATTTATCCCAGCAGCAGCCACGTTACAATAGGATTCCCCGGAGGTGCCAGCAATGGGCCCCACACTCCCGCGCCAAGGAAACAGAACTCAGAGAAGCCAGGCTGGGAAAGGGACAGCAGCTCCACTGTATACTCTCTCTCTCTCCCTAGTCAGAGCTCTTCATACTACCTGCTAGGCTTGTCAGGATTCCAAGTGAAAGCCTCCTTCAGCATTGATGGGGATAGCAAAGATCTTTTCTTGGGGAGGAGAGAAGGGGGCACAGTTGGGGCAACCATTAATGCGAACACTGCTCCTTAGGAAGCCAAACTGCCTGTGTAGGGAGAGGCAACTGCGAAGGAGCCTGCTCCTTGTACAGATGGACTGAAGCTTTCCACAAGGTCAGAAATACTTTCCCCTCGAGAAGAACAAACTCAGCAAGCAGTATTTTCTAGCATTCTCCACACATTTTTAGTCCCCCAAGCAGGGACAGAACCCCTATATCACCTACAGAGATGGTTCAAAAGTTCACGGGTGGAAGTCAGACTTCATTTTACAAGAGCTGAATGATCCATTTGAGCTCCCAGCAAAGCTTCCAGTAAAAAGCTACAGCACTGCCCTGGATTTGAGGGCTGTATATACCCCAGAATGTGATTAAGCTAATTGAAACCATATTATGTGCATTCAGCTACCCTGAATTAATGAAATAGAACTACACATAGCTAAGGGTTAATTTGGAGACCGGCTTTCAGAAGCAATGTCATATCTAGCAAGCAGTTTCTGCTAATCAGAATGGGAGGAGGGGACAGACAAACAAACTGAGATGGAAAACCTTGGTGGTTGGAAAACCTTGAATCTAGACACCTCGGATATTAGAAAGTTTATTGAAAGTTAGGAAAAGTAATGATCCAGTGGGGGTCATTATGACCCGTGTGTTTTGTAGAAGTTAGTTTTAAAAGATTGGCCAACACAGCGTACTTTGGAGCAGTCCTCTGAAACTATCTGGAGAGACCTTTTTCCTGACACCCTTTTGCCCTGGTGGGTGAGCACCTGGCCACAGTGAACCTGCTGTTTAGTTACTCAATACTTTTCCAGATGTTAGGTAAGTATCTGGGATGTTCTAAACCTATTACTTATGTCTGTGTGTGCTTAAATCTGATAAACTGCAGTTTTAAATAGAGCACGCTTACTTGCATGAATCTTATCGGCCCGAATTGCTGTGTTCCTGTTGATTTATTCCTTACACCAGCTGGAGTGAAATAGTTAAGTTGCCCCTGCTGGGGGTTCCGAAAACCCTGGTTAACAGCAGAGGCAGCCAGCAGTTATCTCGAGTAAACAGATGATGGAACAGATTGCTAATGTGCAAGGGATGAACTGCTAAAAGAAAAAGACTTGCCAAGGGAAAGAACCGCTTTGGAACAAGGTGAAACTTCGGGACTTAACCATTCCTAAAGATGACACTTGCAGCACTGAACTAGAGCCAGGGTGCTCACTAAGCCAGAGAAGTGTAGCTGCCCAAGATAATCTAGGACAGGTTGTGCCTATTCTATTATTAGTATAATGTTTAGCCTTGTGAAAGTGGAGACCCCATAAGATCCCACAGTGCAGCAGACAACTAAACCCCACTGTGACACTGCACCCCACATTCACCATAGTAATATGATGATGATATAATTATGTAGCATCTTGTACAAAGCATGCCTTGTAAGGTATCATTCTAAAAGTCTTGACCTGTTGAACATTAATATCCTGTTAGATTGTATGTGAAGTTATACAGTTTTGCTAGGTAAGTGAAAACACCCACAGTTAGCCTTTCAGGTACAAAAATGAAGAAGCTAGACAGTGCTGATGGCTCATCAACAAAGACAATGGACCATGGAAGAGCTGAGCCTTTCTGTGAATGTTTCAGCTAGCCTATAAGCAATGGCTGCTGTGACTCAGCAAGGCAAGCAGGGGCATGTGACCAGACCACATGATACTGGACTCCATTTTGGTACCTGTATTTGTTCACAAACTGGGCTGGAAGCTTAGCTTGAAACAAAGGGTTCCCGCCAGATGAAGAGACTATATAAGGTGGGGAGTGACATCATGATTTGTCTTCACTCCCCCATAACTCAACACCTGAAAGATGTTCTGAAAGACAAAAGACTTGGAATGCAGTCTGTGCCTTAAGAATCTGCAAGCCTGCTTGTATCATCAGTCAGGGTGAGAAACTAATTCAATTCCTACCTATCTAGTATGCTAGGCTTAGTTCACATTTTTGTTTATTTGCTAGGTAATCTGCTTTGATCTGTTTGCTATCACTTAAAATTTCTCTCTCTGTAGTTAATAAACTTGTTTTATATTTTATCATAACCAGTGTGTCTTTAAATTAAGTTCCTGGGAAAATCTCATCTTGGTTAACATAGGCATGTGCATATCTTTCCCACATCGAGGGGAAAGCAAATTACATTAATGTTTCTTTTTATGTCCCACAGCAATCTGGCCTCCAAGGAATCATCTAGTTCCCCGCAACTCCTCTGGCGGCTCTGCAAATACTGCAGGATCAGGTATACTGTGCTTGGAACACTCATCACAATACTGCAAAGCTGTGCAGGATTCATGCTTCCCACAGAGATGGTGGACATGGGGGCTTTTGAAAAAGAGGCGTAAAACATTATAGGATGCAGATAAAATTATGGGACGGAGAAAACTGCCTCAAGGGACATTGAAACCATGTTCCCAATCAACCCTGCATGATTCGTTTGCCCCCATGAGGCATTGTGAACCTTTCCCAAAACATCCTGCACTAGATGGTGGCAAGTTGCACAGTGGGATAGAATCCTAGAATATCAGGGTTGGAAGGGACCTCCTCAGGAGGTCATCTAGTCCAACCCCCTGCTCAAAGCAGGACTGATCCCCGACTAAATCATCCCAGCCAGGGCTTTGTCAAGCCTGACCTTAAAAACTTCTAGGGAAGGAGATTCCACCACCTCCCTAGGTAACGCATTCCAGTGTTTCACCACTCTTCTAGTGAAAAAGTTTTTCCTAATATCCAACCTAAATCTCCCCCACTGCAACTTGAGACCATTACTCCTTGTTCTGTCATCAGCTACCACTGAGAACAGTCTAGATCCATCCTCTTTGGAACCCCCTTTCAGGTAGCTGAAAGCAGCTATCAAATCCCCCCTCATTCTTGTCTTCTGAAGAATGAACATCCCCAGTTCCCTCCGCCTCTCCTCATAAGTCATGTGTTCCAGTCCCCTAATCATTTTTGTTGCCCTCCGCTGGACTCTTTCCAATTTTTCAACATCCTTCTTGTAGCGTGGGGCCCAAAACTGGACACAGTACCCCAGATGAGGCCTCACCAATGTCGAATAGAGGGGAACAGTGTACGGCTCTTTGCACCATGCAAGTGCTGCTAGTGTAATGTAGACATGCAAGAGCGATTTAATTACTGCAGCGGCTGTACGTCAACGTACTTATGTTGACTTAATTTTGCAGTGTAGACTTGCCCTACGTCTCCTCACGTATTCATTATGCAGAAAGCCATCAGAAAGTCACCCAGGCTGGCCTCTGCAAAGACGTCTTATTGGAGCCAGCAGTAGGGGGATGGTGCTTCCTGATGGCAGTGTCTTTGGTAGCCAAACACTACAGACGTGTTTGTCTATCTCTCATCATCTGCTAAAGTTGTACTAAGTGTTTAATTTCGGTACATTCATACTACTGCAGTGGTACAGTAACACTTCCAAAGTGCAGCCAACCTTGCCATTTCCTTCAAGTACACATTAAGAGTCATTCCAGCTGCATCTGCCATGCCAGTAGCTCACGGGCTCTCTGACTGACCCAGTCACTTCCTGCAAGTGAACCATTTCCACCCCTTAACTATGCTCAGAGCAGGTCTGACCCGGAGGCTACGTGAGCCCTACCAATTCCAACAGCTGCACCACTGCTCCTAATGCTACTGAACCAGGGTGAAATGTTTGCAAAAAGCTCTAATGAAAACAAGGCCCAGGGTCCTTCGAAAGCAGTGGTCACCAACCCGATCATAATCGACTGGTCGATCCTGGGGACTCCCCCAGTCATTTGCGATCTCCAGCGGTGTAGCGGGGCTGCTGCTAAGGCAGGCTCCCAGTCTGCTGAGGTGCAGCCCCACTCCCCATCAGCTGCTCCTGCCTGCAAGCACTGCCCCCGCAGCTCCCCATGGCCAGGAACAGGGAACTGTGGCCAACAGGAGCTTTGGGGGCAGTGCCTGCAGAGAGGGACAGCATGCAGAGCCACATGCCCCCCGCCTCCCCTCCCAGAGGCTGCAGAAGCGTGTTGGCCCCTTCTGGGAGCGGCGTGGGGCCGGGACAGGCAGGGAGCCTGCCTTAGCCTTGCTGCGCTGCTGATCAGGAGCTGCCCATGGTAAGTGACACCCAGCGGGAGGCTGCCCCCCACCCCCAACCCCTCCTGCACCCTGAGCCCTCTCCCAGAGCCAGCATCCCATACTTCCTCCTGCACCCCAACCCCTGCCCCAACCCTGACCCCCCTCTCAGAGCCAGCACCCTGCATCCCCTCCTGAACCTCAACACACTGCCCCAGCCCAGAGCCCCCTCCTACACCCAAACACCCTCCCAGAGCTTGCACCCCTCACCCCCTCCTGCACCCAGCTCAGCCCAGAGCCTCCTCCCACACTGTGAACCCCTTGGCCCCAGCCCAGACCATCTCCCAAACCCCAACCCCCTGTCCCAGCCCGGTGAAAGTGAGTGAGGGTGGGGGAAAACAAGTGACGGAGAGGGGGGGGGAATGGACCGAGCGGGGCAGGGCTTTGGGAAAGGGGCAGGGCCTCGGTGAAGGGGTGGGGCAGATCCTGGGTTGCCCTTAAATTCAAAAAGCGATCTTGGGCATAAAAAGGTTGGAGATCACTCTTCTAAAGC